CTCCTTCCCACCTTTTCCCCTTCCTTTTCCCCTTCCACACTATGCCCCACTTTCTCCTTGTCTTCTCCGTTGCTAACTTCTCAAGCTGTCCTTGGTATAATTCCCTTTCTCTCTGGGAACTTGTGCTACGTTTTATTAATATTGCAGTTAGTCTGGCTGACTAGTCAGTCTGCCATTTAGCAGAGAGAGTTCTCATCTAGACTTTGCCCTGCTCTTCTCTGCTGCTGTTAGGAAAATGGAACCAGAGAATGTAGCTTTATTTAGGGAGCCCTAAAGGATCTTGCACAAAAACGTGGAAGGTGGTTAGAAGGATACACAGGTCGTTCATTGTTAGGTGGCTGCTAACAAAGATCATTGCAGGTCTAGTGCACTGTTGTCCCATGGAAGTACAGCATGCAAATATTAGCCACCAAGGTACTTTCCACTGCCCTAGTGTGTGTGTGTTTTCAAAAAAGCAAGTAGAAACAGGTAAGGTTGATTTCAGGTCTACCCCCTATCCCGCCTTTTTTTTTTTTTTTTTAAAGGAGAGCAGCTCCCTGTGTAGCCCAGGCTGGCCTGGAGCCAGCAGTGGTCCTCTTCTCTCAGCCTCCTGAGTGCTGGGATTGCAGGCGTGTACTAGCACACCCAGCCTAATTTTAAAATTTATTTTATCCACTCTTCAATGTCACAAAGAATTATTTGGACTATTTACGTTATTATTATTTTCTTGAACTCAGAGTTTTTGTGGTAGGCCACATACGTCCTTAGTCCTTTTTATTTTTTATTTTGAGTCAGAACCTGACTAACCCGCTAAACTCAGGGTGGGCAGCCCCAGCCGCATCTCCAGGGCTCGACAAGCCTGTACTGGCTGGTGCGGGTCTGAGGACTTTGTTGCTTCTTCAGTTTCAAGGAAGCGATGTTGTTTGCGGAACCCGAAAATGAGTTCTTAGAGGGAATCCCTCTCTGCTTGAGGGCTGCAGCCAGTGCGGTTGGTACCGTGGCTTTCATAGATAGCTTTGCTCTTTGGTCTGGCAGCCACTTGTAGCTACTGTGATGTATTTACTGTCACAAAGCACAAGGGGAGCTCTTTGTCTTTGACTCCAAGCACCAGGCATCAAAGGGCGAGCACAATTCAACAGTGCCACATTCATCATCCTGCCTGGGAACGGGAGGTGCAGACTTACCAGACACTGTGCTCTGGCACTTTCCCAAGGCTTTCCAGTGCTGTGTCTTTAGGTGGTGCTGTTGCTGCCTTTGTCACTACCCCCGGCCAAAGCGAGAAATGTCCAGGTGTCCAGACTTTTAAAATGTCCTGCGTTTAGTACCTTATACATCAAAAAATTTTTCTTATTTTCATAGGAGACTTGGAAAATATATCTTTGCTTTATAATTTCAGAAGATTCTAAAATGAGAGACAAGGAAAAAAAAAAAAAAAACAGAGAAGAAGGCTTTGAAAAGTTCCAACCTATGGAAATTATAAGATTTGGAAGCCAGAAATGTTAATTATTCTCTACGTATTGAATTTAATATTGTACCCAATGCATAAGTACAACACTGTATTAATTAAAATGAAAAATAAAAGATTGTGCAATTTTTGTTCATGGAGATGGCTGTACCACATATCCTGTTTGGAAAGCTTGGACACTGTTAGGAATACCACAGGGAAATCGAGGGTATTTAATATGACTTGGAGACTTTGTTTTAGTTAGTACTTCCCAGAAAGGCAGTTCATTTTCTTCCACTCAACCATGTAATTTTCTGAAGATTTCTCAGAAAGTAGCCAAGCGTCATATATTCAAGTAGAAAGAACTGGGGGGCGGGGGGGAGACAAAAAACAAAACCTTGCATTATGTAATTGACCTGAAAGTGCTGTCTTAGAAAATGAAGATTAGTCTTTCAAAACTTAATAGAAGAGGGGCCAGCGAGATAGCTCAGCGGACTAAGCGCCTTCTTTGGCAAGCGCAAGGACCGGGGCTCTGTCTCCAGTCCTGCATGACATGCCAGCGATGAGCCATTGATCAAGTCCGCTCACCAAGTCTGGGTGTGGTGGCACACGCCTGTAATTCCAGTGCTGGGAAGGCTGAAAACAGGAGGATCACTACTAGTCCAAGCTGCATAGTGGAACCCTGTACCAAATACATAAAATGGAAAAAAAAAAAAAAAAACCCACAAACCTTAATAGAAGGGGCCAGGGAGGTAGGTCAGTAGTGCAGTGTGTGCCTAGTAAGCACCAGGCTCTGAGTTTGATTCCTGGTACCCTCCCATCAAACAAACAAACAAACAGTGAAATAAATGGGGGAACTGATGAAAGTGATACAACTTCTTTTCCTGGGAAACACCAAATGGTGGATGATACCAGTGCAGCGGGAGGGCCGGAGGCCCCAGCGGCCCAGGCACGGGAGGCCACGGCAGCTTCTGTGGGAGGCTTTGTCAGTGGCCTTCGAGGTTGTGGGCGCAGCACAGGCCAGGCCAGGGTCGAGGCCGTGGGGCTCGTGGCGGTAAGGCTGAGGACAGTGAGTAGATTCCTGTCACCAAGCTGGGCCAGCTGGTCAAAGACATGAAGAGCAAGTCCCTAGAGGAAATTCACCGTTTTGCCTTACCTATCAAGGAGTCCGAGATTATTGACTTTTTCCTGGGCACATTCCCCAAGTTGTTCTGAAGATCATGCCTGTGCAGAAGCAAACTCATGCTGGCCAGTGGACCAGGTTCAAGACATCTGTTGACACTGGGGACTGCAGCAGTCATGTTGGTTTGGGTGTAAGGTGTTCCAAGGAAGTAGCCACTGCCACTTGTGGGGCCATTATCCTGGCCAAGCTCTCCATTGTCCCTGTCAGGAGAGGCTACTGGGGAAACAAGATCGGCAAGTCCCACACTGTTCCTTGCAAGGTGACAGGCCGCTGTGGCTCCGTGTTGGTGCGTCTGATCCCAGAGGCACTGGCATTGTCTCAGCCCCTGTGCCCAAGAAGCTGCTGCTGATGGCTGGTATTGATGACTGCTGCATCTCTGCTAGGGGCTACACTGCTACTTTGGGCAACTTTACCAAGGCCACCTTTGATGCCATCTCCAAGACCTACAGCTGTCTGACCCCTGACCCCTGGAAAGAGATTGTGTTCACCAAGTCTCCCTATCGGGATATTCACTGACCATCTTATGAAAACACATACCAGAGTCGTATTCAGAGGACTCAAGCTCCACCAGTAGCTACAATATAAAGGGGTTTTATACAAGAAAAATAAAATGAATTAAGTCTGTAAAAAAAAAAAAAAAAAAAGAAAAAGTGATATAAGTTCTTTCATGAATGTCCTGGTCTTTTCACTGTCTTGTGTCATTCCTTAATGGTTAATGTATAACCCTGAGACTTGTGCTGCGCTAGATACAAGTCTGAGATAGATTATGGAGCTTTGTCAACTCACGGCACTAAAACAGCATGAAGCTGCTCCACCGTGGAGTACAACTGATTGGGTCCCAGTTGCAGTAGCTTATGTTTGTCAAAACAGCCAATATATGAGTAGAGACTTAAAGATTTATCAAAATCAGTCTCTTTGAAAAGCCCAGCTTGCACACCAGTTCCTGTGCATGCTTTACAAGGCCTGTGATGCTGGGCAGGACCACAGGCTGCTTGGTGTCGTTACAGGCCGAGTTTCCACACACGTGTATGGGGATTGCAATCAGCGCCTTGGGGCGGGGCTACAGTCCCAGCCCTTTTTATTTGTTTAAAGACATAGTCTCTGTCTTGCAGCTTATTTTTAAAGTTCACAAATACCTAAGAAGTTGTTAATACTATATTTTCTTCAAGCGAGGTCCTGGTTGATAAAAAACTCCTCGGAAGCGTGTAGGATTTTCTGTTCTCCAGAACCTAACATTTATTATCTGCTTACTGACTTGCACACAGGGCTACGGAACTCATCTGATGAATCATTTGAAGGAGTATCACATAAAGCATGACATCCTGAACTTCCTCACATACGCAGATGAATATGCAATTGGATACTTCAAGAAACAGGTCTGTCTCACTGGGCAATACTGTTCCATCATTCATTTTCTTAAAATCCATTTCAGGTAGCTTCCCTCAAAATACATTTTTTGAGTATGTGCCAGAAAGTGGTTGAGGGTACACGTTTGTTTGTAAAGCATGTGCCAGAAAGAAGCTTCCAAGTGGATTAGAGAGTATAACTGAGTACTAGATAACTGAGTGAATGAATGCTTGTGATCTATAATTAAAATATAGTATAACATCTTCACATTCTTCAAGATGAAGAAAGTCTTGAACTGGGTGTGCAGAGGCTTCTGTGAACGGGACCTGGGCTCAGCCTCAGAAGGTCTCCATTTGCACTTGTAGCATCAGGGAGGATTATGAATTTGAGGTCAGCCTGGGCTATTTGGTGAGTTCTGGCTAGCCTAAACCATAGAGCAAGAGTATATCTCAAAATACCAAAGAAGAAAAACAACTACCCATACCAAACAAACAACCCAACAAAACAAAACAGAAAGGAAAGTTTTGGAAAATATAATAAAACATAAAGAAGGAAAATAATTGCTTACAAGTATGCAACTCAAAGAAATTTACTATTAATGCTTTGTTTTTATACTTTCACTGTTTTTTTCCATCCACATATAAATGTTAAAATTGGCACATACCATGTAGGTAGCTACCCTGTGCATGTAATACTAGTTTATTTTTCAGATAATTTTTGAGTGGTTTTTCTGTGATTTTATTGTATAAATTAACATAAAACTTACTTAATACCACATTTTGGGATACTTAGGTGTTGCTTATAGTAATATATGTGCATGTGTGGGTTTGTG